AGCAGAGAGCGCTATGAGTGCATATGGCTCATAAACTGAGCTTTTTATAATATCCTTATGAAGCTGTATCTTTCCCACAGGCAGCATCAGATGGCGCTGCTGAGTGAAGCTATGAGCGCTATGATACTACCAAAAGTCAACTATCCAACCTTTATTAAAGGTCCAATGTCATGGCCATTTCTACTGATCATAATTCCATTGTTGAGGTATACTAGAATACATTTATATTGTGCAATTTTCCAAACTCACATTGGTTTCTCATACAGCATCTCTGTATAGTATGTGTATTCACTCTCTGTCCTAAACGGCTTGTTGGAGCTCCTTGGGGCAACGAAGACGGCTGTGGCTGCTCCGCCTCCGTAGGCGAGACGGGCAAAGCCGGCGAGTCGGGCAATAGTGTCCACGACAGTGGCCGCGGGCAGGGCCGTTTCTATTTTTTTGGGGGCCCTATGCAAGATGCTGTTTGGGGGCCCTAGTCTTTACAGTTTTTTAACTACAATGGGGGAATTCCAAAGCCTTTAAGACAGGGGTGCCCAACCTTTTTTGAACCAAGAGCTACTTTTAAAGTTGCCAGTCTGCCGAGATCTACCAGTCCAAATAGAGGAGGGGGGGGGAGGCGTGCTAGCGAATANTTCATTACAAATCAACTGAAATATTGCAAGCCTTTTATTATTTTAATATTGCTGATTATGGCATACAGCTTAAGAAAACTCAAATATCCTATCTCTAAAATTTAGAGATAGGATATTTGAGTTTTCTTAAGCTGTATGCCATAATCAGCAATATTAAAATAATAAAAGGCTTGCAATATTTCAGTTGATTTGTAATGAATCCAGAATGTATGACATTTTTGTTTTTTTAATTGCATTACAGAAAATAAAGAACTTTATCACAATATTCTAATTTTCTGAGACAGTCCTGTATAGCCTTCAGTAAAACCTTTCAAACACTGTTTCAGTTTCCATCCATCCTTACTTTCAGTATGGCCTGGGTGCTGAGGCAGTAATAAAGGAATATGTGCCAGTGATTTCTGCCCTGACATCGACCAGCAGAACAGCTGAGTGCTGTAGTGATGATGACGGTGTTATCAATGCAGCGCTCCACCCAGCGGCGGACTGGGACTAAAAATCAGCCGGGGAAACTCGACAGGCCGACCGGCCCAACTCTATTCCAGTCCGCCCCTGGCTCCACCCTCTGTCCCTGCTTTCCAAAATGTACTTGTCGGTTTTGCTTGATTGCCCTAATGTCCACTGGCACGCACACTGCTTGTCCCCAGGTTATGTCACATTCCTGCGAACATGTCGGGACAGAGTGCTCACCTGAAACCAGAATAATAATGACATGCACCCTCTTCCCATTCAGCATAGGAATGTTTTCACTCCATGATTGCTGGAAGCTTCTGCCAGAGAAAGAGGCTTGTTTTAGCTGGCAAACAACACACCTGTATCCTCATCTCATATCTGCCATCCCCATCCCCAGCTCCACTTCCTAACCTGATTACTTGCTGTTACTTTTGGATGACCTCTACATCAAACGCAATGCAAACCAATAATAGAGACACTAATATCAATTTGTTTTACTTCAGTTTTGTATGTAAGAAAATAGAGCAATGTAACTTTAGAAAAGAGGAAACCATAAAGGATATTTTGGATAAAAAATGTGTCCTCTTAAATTTAGGCTAGATTTACAGAATAGTAGAGTTTACAACAACTATACATGGATACAAAAATTAAATCATAATCATGTACTGCATTAAAAACATACAAATTAAAGTAGCCTAAATGAAGACGAACCTGCATTTTGAATGTAACTTTATTAATAGATCCTGCAAGTTATCCCCATTTAAGAAAAAGTAACAGTAATCTGATTACATATTTCGTATGTGACTGTAAGGGAATACTTTGTTTGTATCCTGATCAGGTAATCCCATTACATGTAATCCATTACTCTCCAAAACGTGTGGAGTACCCAGTCATGGCAGTGACATGTGGAATTTTCATTACCTCGCCCCGGGGGCACAATGCTGTCTGTGCCTGTGTATCGTTCAGGTTTTTTTCCACCCCTGCCTTCTCTCTCTCTCTCTCTCTCTCTCTCTCTCTCTCACACACAAACTGTCACTCTCCCTCTGTGGTGTTTCTGAGTCAACCGGTGTTGGCTGGGTTTGTTGTTTGTGGTTCAGCTGTGGGGCAGTGGTAGTGGTCTCAGAGCTCCATGGCCTGTCGACCCCCCGGCTCTGCCTCCTACACCGTGGTTATCATTCCGCCCAGGAGCAGCCTCTACAGCCTGGACGCTCCGCGCTTCTACCTATGGGTGAGTAGGGAGGTGGTATGTGTGTGTGTGTGTGTGTGTGTGTGTGTGTGTGTGTGTGTGTGTGTGTGTGTGTGTGTGTGTGTGTGTGTGTGTGTGTGTGTGTGTGTGTGTGTGAGAACATGCTTTTTAATCAGGTCACCAATGACTATAGTTATACTGTAAAAGCTTACTGTACATTATACAAAGTTTACTGCTTCTCGAGTGTCACCAGTTGGAACTATATGGACACGGAATGTTCACATGACATTTCCTATTCCTCTGGAATGTGAACTAATTATTAATTTGAGTCATCCTGTGAAATAGTTCACTTTTTAAAATTCAACTGATACTAAAAGAGATTTCTATAGTCAATTTAAACACACACAATCACAATAAAGGCCTTTACATGATTTTGACTAATCTAAACGTGTTTGAATTTAGATAGTATATTAATATTACATGGAATAAGTGTCAACAGGAAGGCAGAATCATTTTGATTTTTTTTTAAATACTAATAATTATTCCAACTTCCTGCAATACACACCCTTTAAAAAGATTACATTTTAAATCAGTAGTAATGTTTTTCATATTATGAATAGATCCAGACTTACTGTTAAATTATCTTTCCTGTACACTTTACATCACATAGTGAAAGAAATAATGCAGCTCGAAAGCATTCTCCACACTGCAATAAATGCACTTCTTGCTGGTAAATCCTGTATTTATTATATTTATGTTGGGAGTAATCACACTGTAGTCGTCGGCTTTTGAAATAAGTTTTTATTTGGAAATGAAAAAGATAGATGACTAAACTGGCAAATGACAGCTTGACTGAATAAATCATGTAAAAACAGATACTGGACATTTAACCTAGGTGCTTGTAAAGTCCCTCTGTTTTAAATCAGTTTTCCATCGTAGCTCCAGTGTTATTTCGAAGGTAGCTGCAGTCATCCCGGTGATACATTCCCACATGTCAAGTCTGCCTCTCACAGCTTCCTGTTAAAGGCTGAATATAACCAGTTTTTCAACCACTGTAAATGCGTTTTTATAAGAGTTGTCAAGATTTGAGATTGCTATAATAGCTTTAAAATCTTATCTTACATAAATAACAGGGAGCTTGTGGGCATGTCTTGAAATGTGATTAGTCACACACAGCTAAATGAATAATTAACTAGTGATACAAGACTGTCATGAGTTTCTAACGTCCTCTTAATCCATGTGATTGCCTTGAAACTGACTGTAACCCCATGACAGTAGAGGTGTATCACCACCACCCTACAGTATGTTATGATTGCCTGTCCGTTGTTAGCTCTGTGTGAGCCCATTTAAACAACATGTTTTCCAAAGAGCGGGGACAAAAGGACTACATGCCCCCTGCTGCTCTGTAGATTGGCTCCACTGATTCAAACAAAGCCTCTGGGTCTCTGGAAGACAACAGGCAGTGTTGTGCATTAGTCAGCCCCATGGTGTCATCAAACACACACAAACACACACACCTCACAAAACGTTCTGTACCTCCAAAATGAACATTTATGATTTTGTTTCTGGGAGGTTTCCTGCTTTTTTCAACTGTGGAAATGTGACCGGAAGAGTCTGGATACTGTCTATGAAAGATACTTTTTTTTTTAATGGGGGTGATATGAAGTACTTATCCATAGTGAGTTTTATGTACAGTAGATGGTGGTCGACCTGCCACCAGTATGGAGAAACAGGAAGTACTACTGGCACAGAGGCTATGTCCTGCTTTGGACACAGGCAGAAATGAAATATATTTTAGCAACCTAAACAAGGGCCCAGCCTTAAAACATTTGATTCCAGTTAAAGTATTTGCTATATTTAGAAAATTCTCACTGCTTTACCTTGCCATTGGACTGCTTTCTCGCCGGGAACTACATTGGTTTCCTAAGCTTTTTTGAAAAGCAACCAGACTCCATTGACAAAACTATGATTTTACCTCTCAGAACCTGGTAATAGCTGGTTAACCACTGCCTCAATGGTAGAGTTTATTTGAATAAGGTAAAATTGCAATTTTTATCAAAGGAGAATGGTGTCTTTGGCCAGAGCATAAATAACAAATTCAGCGTACCATAGGAAAACGAGGTTGGCGACAAGGTAAAGGTTAAACTCTTAATATAGCGTATATATTGGGTGCAGTCAACATGTCCTAGTGTCCTTCGGCAACCCCTAGTTGCTCTCGTTGGCATGTCAACAGAACTTTAGTGGACTGAAAAAACTGAACCGTTGACTTTAACAAAATGTTTTATGTCAACAGATTTCACATAAGTGAATATTTGTTATTTGAACTTAATATTATTGCTTTCAATGAACCTAATACAGTTATGTGAAATCTGTTGACATGATACATTTAATTAAAGTCAACGTTTCAGTTTTTGAGTGTTTATGTAAGCCACTTTGGACAAAAGCGTCAGCCAAATGGCATCTAAGGTAAATATTTAAAGCATACTCAGACACAAATATATGTTTATTTGCTGATTCCACAGTTCACAGTACATTTCTTAGCTTCCTTTCAAGTAGCCTACTGCTTTCTGTTTCTCCAGACTGGGGGTACCTCCTGCTGTGGGTGATACACAGTGGCGTAACAAGGTTGTGATTGGCCCCGGTGCAAATATTGCCCCCACCCCCCCCCATCGCCCCATCGCCCCAAACATAAGCGCACGCTGATGCACTCATACATGCACGGACATTCAGAAGCGCCACATGTATAGGCTATCAACAACAGCCTGCCCTGGCCTCAGACCACCACAGCCTGACAACGGCACAGCGAACTAAGAAGAGGATTAAACCTGTTTCCTTGATGTTTGTCTCTGGGGGATGGGCCGGTAGGCCTACATAGACCGGTTGCTATAATATAGCATTTGATCTTGGCGTCGGGGGTCTCAATAGCGCCATAGAGTCCCCTATCGGTTGGGGCCCTTGGGGGAAATGTTGGACCACCGCCGGGGACTGCCAAATCCAGCCTCTCCTCCTGGCTGGCTGGAGGTTGCACAGCCACGGCCACGGATACAGCTTAACTTGTGGAGCTAGATGGCAATGATGGTGGTGAGGAAGGTGAGCTATCTTTAGCCTCCGGCTCCGGCTGCCGCTGCACGTCAACATTGCTAACGTTAGCGCTCGATTTCGAGGACGATGTATGACAAAAAAAGCGGTCTAATTTTGTCAGTTTAGCTGTTACATCTCCTTGTTCTCTCTTGTCCTTTCTCTTTTGAGCGCTGCTCTTGTGCTTTGGTTTGCTGTACATTATAAATGCAAGCTATTACATTTTTTATAATGCTGCGTTGCACCGGCTGCACCGGCGATAGTTACGCCACTGGTGATACACCTATGTTTAAGTAGGCCTACCTTTATTAAACCCCACTTCAAACATCCTGACGAATCTTTAAAATTCACATGATTGAGAGGTTTTCCTCCCACCTCAGGTTAAGCGTCTGAAGGACTTGGAGCAGGAGAAGGACGCTCTGTGCTCGGGCATGGAGGTTCTGGAGAAGGCCCGCCTCTGGTACCTCCAGCGGCTGGAGGAGAACCAAGCCAGGCAGGGCAGCTTCCAGACCCAGCAGAGTGGGGTCAACCCCCGGCAGGACGGAGCAGCAGAGGTAGGAGGCGGGGCGAGTGCATGGCCTAATTGACTCATTGATACTAATAATAACTCCGTGTTCTGTCACTCATGGTGTAAACGCCCGCTGCCCTGCGTCTCTGCAGGCCTGGTCTTGCCTCCTCAGGTCTCGGATCCAGCGGGTGAACGGCTCTCTGGGCTCTGTGATGACTGAGCCCAATGTGACCAGCGGCAGCAGCGCCTCTCTGCCCGACGCAGTGACCGACAGCGACCTCCGGTGGCAGAATACAGCACTGGCTCAGGTGAGGAGAGCAGAAAATGTGGGAAATGTTATTACTGTAAACCAGGGGTGTCCAAACTTTTTTCACCGAGAGCCACATACAGAAAAATATACAAAGGGCTGGGCCATTCAGAGGTATATTGCCTCATACGTTCAGTTATAAGTTAGCAAAATCAATCAGATGTAGGCTAGATAAATTATGCTCGTGAGTGTTGGCAGCTCATCCCTTCAAACAGAAGCCTCAGATTGATTATAATAAGGAGAAATAGGTCTTATTAACACATGAATAATACTGTGTAATATATTTTTACATTTATATTTAAGAAGTACAATATGAGACAAACACAAGTTTCATTTGTGGGCCATATTCCATTATACTTTTTTTATTTGATGAGGGCCGATTCAAAATGGTCCGCAGGCCGCATTTTGCCCCTGGGCCGTAGTTTGGACACCCCTGCCGTAAAGCTTAAAAACTGTTCAAATGCCTTTGTTTAAATTTGCAATAATTTCTGATCGATTGGTCTGTTTGCTTCTTTTTGATGTGGCCATTGTTTCCATATTTTTGACAGGAGGTGAGCGACAAGAACCGTAAGATCTCACTTTTGGAATTCGAAAAAGACACCATCCTTGAGCAGCTTGATGAACTGCAGGCACGTTAATCACATCATTTCACTTCATGTCACACATTTGCTAACTTATACCCACTTGTAAATATGTATTTAATTTAATAAATTACACTTACGGATTCATCGTTGGCTTCTGTGTAATCCTTCAAGAACTAACCAGTTTTTGCTGAATCACTGAAACTTGACTGACCTGATTTTGTAACTTTATTATAACCAAGCCCTGTTGTAATTATGCATCATTATAATATATTATAATAATCATTTTCTTCTCCTTAATCCAGTAGTTAACTTCATAAAAGAGATGCAGGGAGTGGACAAAATCATCAACTATATACGTCAATATTTAGGGGCGAATCTTTCAAACAATTTTGAGAAATGTGTTCTTTTTGAGAATTTCCATTTTATAAAATAAGATATATTTCTAAAGATGGAACTACCAAAAGGTATATAAGAAGTTTAACCTTCAAGTACTGCTTACATCTTAATGTATCTGCAACAATGATCCAATAATGCAATACATGACACTGATAGTGAGCATTCTGTGTGAGTACCATTACTTTTGACACTTTAAGTACATTTTCTTGCTAATATAATTGCAATGTTGTTTAGTAGTGTAGCTCATAAATACATTATTTTCCCACAAATGCAATGTAAACTACATTATGCAACACTTGCTTCAACCACTTATACAGGTATCTACTGGAAATGGAGGGTTGTAAAATACCTTCTTTTTTAATAATCCCAAATGGTGGACATTTTCAGCCTTGATACGGTAAATTAGCATTTACAGTGTAATAAAATGACCAAGGCAGCTGAGAAATTGTTTAAGCTAAAGTGCATCAACATATTTTCCCCGCATCACTGTGTTTCCTGTTACTCGCATTTGTTCCGTTTCCGTCTCTAAATGTGGGCTCTGTGTCTCGACACGTTGCAGAAACCTTACCCGGTGGTCCCGCACTGATCTTATTGAACTGATAAACGTTATCTATCCAAGTCATCGTGCATGTTAGCAGGTATTTTCTCTCCTGCACAGCACTAATCTGCAGCCTTAAACACAAAAGGCAACACTAGCAGGCTTATCAAAGAACTCCAATCCGTCACACACACAGGAGTCCTCTGATCATGTTATTTTAGATATTTATTTTCTCCATTTCAATAATCCATTCCCTCCTCCATCTTGGTTGATTATTCCACCCGTGGATGGATTTTTTAGCCGGAGCAGGAAACCAAAGTGTCAGGGGCCCAACTGGCTTTCACCTATAATATGTAAGTCAAAGACGCATGTACCAACCAAGATACATATCCAGCAACAAAGAGATGCAGAACAGCTGCAAAGAGACCACAACAAGACTCAACAAAAAAAAAAACTAGAAAAAAAAGACCCACTATAAAGAGTGACAAATAGAGACATGCAAAACACCTTTAGACTTAAAGGACAGAAAGACAGAAATTGACTTTGAAGTCACAAAACAGCAACAAAAAGAGGCCAAACAACCATACAGTCTGCCTTGCTTCTATGTTGTACAGATACTGGGGCCTTTTAAATGACTGGTCCCAGGGGCCATTGTCAAATGTTTTGCCCATGATTCTACTTTTTCTTTTGACTACATTTTCATATTTTATGCTTCATATCCTTAATTGGGAGAGCTTTTTTTGCCTATGTATATCTACGAGGTCTATGTAAAAGATATTGTCTATGTGTTGACTGCAAGATATATCGGAATAAGTATGCAGTTTGTAATGTGTTGTATGTGTTAAGAGGTTATTGTGGCATAAATAGATTCACCAAGATGATAACTTAAATCAGTTGATATGATCCTTATCATTACCGAAACATATAATCTTTTCTTCTGGCTTTTGTACTAAATCAGATTCATGCATTCGCAACTATACCTTCCAGTAAAGTGGAGCAATGCCTGTAAGGAATATGTGCAGGAATGAGATTAAAATCAGCGTGTGAGCTTCCGGAGAGAAAACATCCATTATAGCCGAGGCTTTCATTTAAGTAGCTCCATGTTCCCTATCTTCAGAATGCCACTGAACCATCCAGCCCGGGTACCAGCACTTGGATAATTATTGGGTCTAATTCACAAACTGCACAGCCCAACACCTTTGTTATGTCACGCCTTCGTGGAAAGCAATGCCTTTCTTCAGCAGCAACACGGTTCACTTGCACGGCACTCTGCTGGTCTCTCCAAACTCCTTCTACTTGTATACAATATCATGTTGACTTTTTTCCCCCCAATTTGTGGTTTGGGTTTTTCTGAAAATCTGAAATTGTGAGCTGTTTCCGTGCAGGTCAGCGGAGGTGGGAAGCATAAACACACAAACATGGTTGCCTGATAAATGCATTCTATAAGCTATTAGGGGAAGAAGCTTCCTGAGATATACGGTGCCGTCAGTAGGTGGTCTTTGAAGAGCACTTAAGGAATACTTAGTTTGAGGTGTCGTTTCTGTGCTTCAGGGACCATTTAAGCCTACTAGTTATTTAAAGCCTGATAGCATTTTTTCTTCTGTTGGGTAAAATATTTATATTACAATCTCAATCAGGACTAGACACTATAAATGTGATCCATTTATAGTAATTGTATTTTGTCTATTGTTGTCTTACTAGATTCCCTTTTTATTTTTAATTTTGAGGTTATACTCTCATGTCTTGATATAGGTTTGTTATTTATATCGTTTTTCCTGTATTCAATACAATGATAAAACAAATATTTGGTTAGCCCACACAAATTAAGGAAACGTAATATGTTAAGTATTGAGATGACATGCTCAACCTGTCAAATGTACCACAAAAAAGGCATAATTCTTCTTTTTAAATTTATTTTTGAATTCTTATGCATAATATTCTCGTGTAATATTTTGTTTTATGTGTTTTGCTAAATTTACCTCATTCAGTTTATAAAATATGGTCAAGATAAATTTTTTCTTTTTTTCCAATAACCGAAAAGCACATAACCACCATATCAACAATAGCAACAAGATGCAAAAAATAATACAAGCTTAAAATGAATCAAGGATATTTTAATCTGAAATAAACAGATTTTTTTTTTAATGGTTGTTTGTCCTATAGTATACTGAACCCCCCCAAATGTAAACAAACAATGTTGATTAATGCAGACCGAATACAATCAGATAGTGAATTGTTTCCATTTGGCATGTTTTGCTTTCTCCAAAATGTAAATAATGTACAGCAGATCACAGAAAGAGATACACTTAATATCAGTAAACAATTTCCTCACTGTCGTTGAGGCCAGTTTTGGATTCTCCATCACTGTTGCACTCTGTCCTCTGCGGCAGCGACGCACGGTTACGCGCGTCTCCAACGAGTGGCATCTCCATCCCGGACACGTTTAAGTCCAGCAGGCTCTGCAGGTGTTTGATATAGTCAATAGCAGCGTGCAGGGTCTCCACTTTGCTGAGCCGCTTGTCCTCAAACTCCTGCGGCAGATGCTCTCTGAGCCGTGCGTAACCTTCGTTTACGCAGCGCACTCGGTGCCGCTCCCTTTCGTTCCTTTTCCGGATAAAAGCAGGTTCAAAGGAATAATCACACACACCAAAGGGGACGTGGAAAGGGAAATAAGTTAGCCGTCTGTAGGGTAACCTCTGGTCGTGCACTGGGTCCAGATATGCGTCCATGTGGAGGGGCAGTCTCAGTCGTAGTGCATCCTTGTAGTGTGCTCCACTGTTTTCCATAGAGAAGCCGTGGAGAGCCAGTGGAGGGATGAATGGAGTATGCTCCATTATATCCTTACATGTATGAGACATCTTTCTAATAGAAAAAGGGACAAATTAAAGTACATAGCGGTTGAATATGAAATACACTTTGTGCCATCAATGCAACTTACCCTGCCAGAGTCTCCTCAAAGTAATCTCATGTTTTCAGCAAGAGTTTTCTTTTTATTGTGATTAAATATCTAAGTTGTGATCTTCTATAAGTGGGCACTTCTTCCTCGGGTAAATGTTCAGTCTGTGTGTCATCTTGTTAGTTTGGCTTTTGAGGCTGGAGGCATGGTGGGTGTGATCCGGGGCGGAGATGCAGAGTGGTTTTCTCATCAAGATAATACTGTTTATATAACCTTTCTTCCTTCCGTTCACACTGTGAAGCAACTCATCATGGAAATGTACACTGCTGACTTTTTCATTGTAAATGTCTTGCAAATGTAGGCAACATATAAATACTTTTTATTTTCTAAGCTGTGTACAAATATGATCATTCAAGCCAGTTTACTCTTGGAGTATAATTGTAAAAGGTAACATATGTGGTGTAACACCTAATAATTAATATATTTAAAACGATGAGTTTTTGACATTAAAATGATTTGACCATTTCTGTGATACATGTTCAAGATTGTATATAAACTGAAATCGAGATTTTTTGAGTCTTTATTAGCATAATTGAAAATAACCTTTTGGGGGTAAGATTTGTATTCACACCATAGAGATTCACACCCATATCTATGATAAATCCCCCTGCTGTTTATTTTTATTTTTTAAACAGTACGAACAAAGTTATAAACCAAACACAAATAGTAATATTTGTATTTGTTATGTTAATTTTGATTATATATAAAAAGATCCCAGTAATAATAATGACAGTATTTGTTGAAGTAATAACTAGTAATAAGTAGTAACTCTTACTAAGTTATAATGCTGTCACATTAAGTCATTATATAGGGAAAGTTTGGAATAATGACATACATATTTATTTTTCCCATCACATTGGCAAAAATGGTCTTGCATACAATAAAGCCCCCTGACGATCCGCCGCTTTCCGTGAATCGGGAGAGTGGAGGACCGAAAATCTGACCTGAGATCAGCACAACACACATTCACTTTTACCGCTGCGCATGCGCACTAGAAGCAGAATACTGTCATGGCCCCGTGCAGGGAACTATTGTGCTGGTATGTTTTTATTTTCAAGTCGTACTCCTTTTCATATAAGACGTATTTTTGCAATGGAGCTTCATATTCGGTGGTAACGTCTATTTCTGCAGCTAAAACGCATGATAATTCTTAGTTTTGACGATCTATGTAGATATAAGTTAGCAAGGCTAATGTTAGCATTGTAACAACACTGGTTGAAGGTACTTGCAAAAATGTCGCTTAAATGTTATTCTATCTTTAATTGTAGCCGCTTGAATGGAATATCTATAAGAAGTGTGAATTCTGTGTCGTTTTAGGTAATGTTGTTGTTATACCAGGTGTTTTATTTCACAGGGAGAGACGAATAAAAGCACCATTCAGCAGTACATGGTTGATGATGGACAGTTGTTGAATTCAGGTAACATTGCTTACGTGTATTAACTGTCTATGTGTGTCTCTACATGCTAACAATTACATAAGGGCTCAATAAATCAAAATGAAGACCGACAAAATAGACTTAATCTAAGTGTTTCTCATAGCTAACAGTGTGTAAACAGCAGCCAATATCCCACATTGTTTGCATGGTATTTAGCGTGCTGTCATATAGATGGATAGATAAATACTTTATTGATCCCAAATTGGGAAAATGTGCAGCAATTGAAATATAGACATATACTACAGTAGCAGTAATATAAACATATACTGTAGGATAGTATATCAATTACAGATTTGCAGTTTAGATTTTGTGCACATTGTTCATGGTTATGGAGAGGGAGAAACTCAAACTATAGAGCAGTGATTTATCTGCCAGCCAGAGGTGAGGTGTTTTAAGTGTTTTGCTATATCTGTCATTATGACGGTGGGGCTGGAGCAGTCTGTTATTGCTCTGTCTCTGGAGTAACTCTGCTGTTGTTTCTTCAGGATGAACGACATGAACCTGAGTCCTGTGGGCATGGACCAGCTCAGTGTGCCCTCAGTGAGTGCCAGCCACCTGGGTCTGCCCACCTCCCCCACACACAACCCCATTCCTACTCCAGGTATGAATGACGCGACAAGCCAGGCATGTTTGCTCAAACAACGCACTATAGCAAGACCTACTGTGATAAGACAAAGCATCACGTGATCAGCAACTGTCCAAATTGAAGTTAAAGAGAGGCACAGCAATATATTTGTCACTTGTTATGTTTGATATAGAGGAACATCAACTTTTAAACTATATCAAATAGTTATTGTGCATTCATCTCTTTTGGATTAGATATTAAGGATCTAGTCTCAGGCTACTGATGTCTTTCCTTTCTTTGCTATAATTATTCTTGTTTTCATTTCTTTTTTTATATTTCAGGCATGCCAGTGGCCATCCCCAGCCTGGGTCCTTCCCTGGGATCCCTCCCCTCGGCCCTCTCGCTGATGCTCCCCATGGGTCCGCTGAGTGACAGAGGAGTGATGTGTGGTCTGCCGGAGAGGAACTACTCTTTGCCCCCGCCTCCGTACCCCCACCTGGAGAGCAGCTACTTCCGACACATATTGCCAGGTACTGTAATATTAGAATAATAGAATGAAATATGTATATAAATATAACAAATTAAAGTAAAAATCTGCACATTTTACTACAATATATGCTATTTATATTATAATATATACAGTGTTGTATTATTGGATATTAGTCATTCTTATTGCCAGTGTATTGACAGGCAGGAATGATGTTCTTTGTTGCATCGTGGCAGAATCAGTCTTACACTGACACTATTCCTGTTCCTCATTAGAGGGTCATGAAGTGACAGTAATCACGTTCCCTTGTTCTGTCCTGCTGTAGGTATCCTGTCCTATCTGGCAGACCGTCCACCCCCTCAGTACATTCATCCCAGCAGCCTCAACATGGATGGGACCCTGTCTGTGTCCAGCAACAACCCCTCAGGTTTGGATCACTACAGTGGCCCCGGAGGCCCCCTGGAGCAGGGCCTGGTGCCCATGGACTCCAGACAGGTCAGCGGCCAGGGGGACCTCCACCAGCCCGGCCCTCATGAGCTGGACTCTTCAGGATTGGCCATGGAGTCGCGTGTCAGCAGCCCCATGTCCCCTGACCGGATGGGGGAGGAGCTGGCCTCCATGGAGGGAGTCGGGGTGGTGTCAGTGTCCGACTCCCAGCAGCAGCTCGGAGGGGGGAGGCAACCTCAGCACGAAGGACTGACCGGGGTGGACTCGTCCGGCGGGGTTATGCCCCTCCATGGACCCACTGTTCTCGAACTACCTGTGGTGATGGAGCCGGATCACATGGGGGGTCGAGTGGGGAACACCGGAGGAGGAGGAGCGGGAGGACTCCATACAAACGGGGAACTGAACTCAGGCGTAGTCAGTGTGGTGCTCAACCAGGGCCAGCTGGAGCCGGTGTCGCTCCACGGACACTCTGGGATGGGGCTGGAGGCGGTCAACGTGTCCCCCATCACTGCAGAGGTGTCCCTGGGGCCAGAAAACAACCTGGTGCTGGTCAACTCCACCCTGCAGCTGGAGGACTCTACCTCCAACAAGGAGAACATGGTCACTGCCTACACCATCTGTGAGTGTTTGTTTTGTATATCTTTTAAACCTTAAAAATATCAATGGATTTTCAAAATCATCTTTTCTAGGTCTGACAAAAGCTATGAAGCTCTGAACAAAAATATTATTCCTCCAAATTGAAGCCTACCTTTCTTTCCCTCTAACCCCTCTTATACGTGTTCTTACTTTCCCACGTTTGTTTCCACTAATACTCTTTTAACAGTTATTGTAGAAATCAGTCTCAAACTTCAAGTAAAAAAAGCATGGTGTACACAAAGCAGGGACTTGACTCTGTATAAGGACTTGTATCAGTGTTAACTCATAAGTTGTTATTTTCTCCCAGGGTGCACGCTGTGTGAGCGCTCGTATACCTCAGACTGCCCAGAACACGGCCCGGTCACCTTCATCCCAGACGCTCCGATCCAAAGCCGGGCACGCCTCTCTCTGCCGCGCCCGCTGTGCCTGCGCATCTCAGTGGCTGACGAACCGCTCGGTAAGGGCATTGTAATCATTTATATATCTGCTAGTTCATTATTATCCGTGGAACAGATTGATAGACTTTTTAAAGATCATCATACCTGATTCTATGCACACTAATGTAATAATAATAAGGGCACTTTCTGGGAGTAGTTTTACATTTTCTGGTATTTATTTTATTGTCTTTTTCTTGTAATTATTTTTTATTTTTACTACATTTATAAGAAGTTTTTATATAAAGAAATAATTTTTCATATAGAAAAAGCTAATGCATAGGTAGACAAAGCTTTTGGTAGACTATGAATTAGCTTGCTGACATAATGTGCCCCCTTTTTTTAGGAGTTTTTGCACGGGACGTCATTCCTCCAAGGACCTGCTTTGGACCAATGGCGGGCCAGCACTGTAGCAACGTGGATCTCTCTGATTGGCCAGAAAAGGACACGCCACAAATATGGAAGGTCAGTGCGGTAGCTTTTTTTTTTTTATTGGACTGTGGGTTTTCCAGTCACAATCACTGCAAAACTATATTAAGTGATAAACCTGTCTCTTTGTTTCAGATGTACCACAACAATGTGCTGGAATTCTACATCGTGACAACGGACGAGAACGAGTGCAACTGGATGATGTTTGTTCGCAAAGCAAGGTAAAGAGTAAAATATGTATTTCAATGCAACCAGAATTTTGATTGACATTTTTGCCACAATGAACAGTAATTGTCCTGTTATAATAAAGGCAAACCCAATAAAGAGAAATGCGACATTGTCAGCGCTCGTGATCAACGTTTGCAATGCAATTTCACCAATATGTAAATACACATGCGGTGTTTATGTGTGTGTGTTTAGGAGCCGTGAGGAGCAGAACCTGGT